GAAAGTTTTTAAGGATCTCTAAGGGATCGTCTGCAACTATACAAGCAGGATTTGCATCCGCTTCGGGACGGCCGAGCGCCCCGCGGCATTTGGTATTATCAACGATTTTCTTTGATATAGAGGCTAAAGATTTTAGTTTCTTTTCGATCTCGTTCTTGTTTTTCCCACTGACTGTGATTGTTTGTGTCTTTACATACCACCGAATGGATGTATCATCATATTCAAAGAGTTTGCCATCGCCAACAGGGGAAGACCATTCTCCATCGCATAAATTCAAACCTTCTTCTACAAATTGTTGCAAGAGCTCATATGATGAGGTCCAAATCACTTTGCCTTTAGTGTTGACATCTAGATTGTGCAATAGACTTTGCTTCGGATCCATTTGTCCTAGCTTCACAATAAATAATTATCTGTAGACTTTCAGTAGACTTTTATAATAAATATAAGCGGAGCACTAAAACACACGTCTGTTCACGACGAGGACGACGAGGAATTCACCAATCGACGCACTCCTCAATTTCCATACAACATTGACACTCTTTAGCATAATTTACGAAGCAGTTCAATGCGACAATTGCCACGTTTACACATGAAATATTATAGTTTGTAATTTGAATACAACACAAGGTCAAGTCACGCAACAAAATCAGAGTGAAATATTTACCATTTACTCAATTCTTCTGAACTATCAAGCCTTTGTTGTAATTGCTTAAGACGTTCGTTGTGATTGCTTTTTTTCGCGGTAACGTTTGAGCCATCTTCGTCGGTCACTGCATTTATGGATCAAGCTGCGCCGATCATTTCTGCGCACGACGTTGACCACGCTTCACTGGTGTTTTCATCGATTTCACTCGATTTGATACGACCCAGGAATATAATTTCAGGCAGTCATCGCTTTGGTAACTGTTATTTTCCGTATCTGAACTCCACGAAGACATTTGTATCGAATTTTGACCAGCTTGATTGTGATTCTCACTTAGTATTTATATACTTTTCACTTAGGCGAGAAGGCAATGTCTTCCTACTATGACGTATTAGTTACCAATTTCCTAGCTTCGCGGTTTTCAAAACCTTTTGCCGTTAAAATTTGAAATTTTCAAATTTCATTGCCTTATTACTCTGTGAAAACAAGCTCAATTTTAAATCTGTTTTCTATTTTCATAATCTACGTTTCAAGACGATTCTAATGATGTAAACTCTCATTTTGTGACAGGGGCACTTTAAGCGCACGCGGTATACGCACTGAGCTATACTATATTACTGGAGGACCTGCTCGAGCTAGATAAAAAAGTGTCCGCAAAAACATGGCGGATCTTACGCCATTTCCATGACAACACTTACTTTATTTTCATGGTAATTGCCACTGACCAACCGCGCTCCTAAGCTTTCGAAGATGTCCTTAACCCCTTGTTTTTTGCAGATATATTATAAATATAAACATATTTCAAGTTTTCTGTTGTTTTTGAACAAAAATCTTTAGTTAATATTTTCCTCGCACATTACTTGTTTTACAACGCCGGTTTGCTGCGCTTGTGGATGCAGCACTTTACTACAAAGAAACTAAAAAAAAAGACAAGAAAATTCTTTCAGGTAAGATTCACACGGATCTTTTATATCAGTAAACTTTCTAGACGACTACTAGCTAGTACTCCGAGTCACTCAGTCACGAGACCCTTCATAATATGTCAAAACTCATCCTATTAATATATACAGCAAATATTTCAAGGTTTAATATGGTGTGAAATTTATATACCGGTACTTGCCCATCATAATGCAGAATTAATATATATACTGTAGATAAGCACAAGACCAGAGAAACTTGAGTAGAGGAGGCCCACCTACATGTGACAATGTCATATTGAATGTGCCCTGTCCTGATGAGCCCTATATAAAAGTCTGTCTTTCTTGTTTTACTCTGTCTGTCTAATGCCAGATGATTTTAAAAGGAGACTGCTCACTGCTGCCTCGCAGTTGGTTAATTTAATACACTATCTGCCAATGAGCAGCCCCTGAGATATATAGTCAGCCCAATGAGCCCAGCTACTTTCGTACTGGGATTGCAGAACAGGGGGCCATGCCCCCCCCCCCCACATTTTGGGTGGATAATAAAACTTTCCGGATAAAATCTGGACAGCCTGCCTGTGTGGACTAGCTCCCATGCTATCCTGCCCCCCTTTTAAACATACTCCATGGTCCCTGTTTTATTTTACTCTATCGGTGAGACTAAATACCGATGTTTTACTCATCAAGGCTTTGAAGAGTCTTAAAAAATAGATAACATTTTACCATTGTCTGTTTAGAACTATATAAAACTATGCAGTTTACACAGTATATGATGTCATAATTTGGAAGTGGTGATGTCCGATTTCTTTGTGAGAAATTATGACAAAATTTGCTAATAAGTAATAAATAGTTTGACATATTTTAGCAGTTAGTTGGGAATGTAATTGCATTGCTGAATATGAAAACATGACACTTAATTTAGAAGCTCGGATCAATTCAGTGGTGGATCCAGAAAAGTTTTTTTTTTTGGGGGGGGTGCTAACCAATGGTGAAACGAGCGCCGAAGGGGCAAGATTTCTAGGGTGGTCCAGGGGCATACTCCCCCGGAAAATTTTTAAAATTTGGGTCTCTGAAAAGGCATTTCCAGCCTTCTGAGAAAACATTCTGGAAAATTTTTAGATTCTCAAAACATTTAAAAATTCAGAATATTTAATATTGGCTATTCCGCTATTGTCAACTAGTGATACGCAACTGAATTCCTTAACATAAGTTGGTTAAAATTAGGATAAACGTCATTTTTGCACCCCCTCCCCCCCATGCACCCATGCACCCCTGTTGACCAGAGCCTGAAGGGATGCGCACTCCCCGCCCTAAATCCACCACTAGATCAATGGACTAGTAAAATTGTCTGACATAATGCAGTAAGGCAAAAATAATACAGTGAGACACATCCAAACACATTTCCACTTGAAGGGTTAACATATGTGTATATGATATTTTGTGGTGTAAAGATGTATAATGTATCATAATAATAATGTCGTCTTATTTTTGCAGAAATGATCTATTTATTATACAAAAGAGATGGCACAGGCATCAACATGCAGAAGAAAATGCAGAACAATTACGAAATAAAGTTATAATTACAATACCATGCATAACAATTAATTATAATTAATAAATAATTATTTGATTATCATAACTTTATTGAAGTGTAAATAAGTTTTATAGCAATTAAAATTATACATTTTTGTTTTTTAAATTGTTTACTGCTAAAAAATTTACACAAAAAGTCAAATACACCGTTCCAGAATGTATGTCACTTTGGCTATGGAGCCTTGTTTTCATGTATGTGGCATGAGTTTTAGTCCAATGTCTCAATCATGAAAATGACTCTATAGCCTATAGCCTATAGCCTATAGCCAAGGTGACATAATTACTGGAAGCATGTAATTAAAAATACAGTACGTTCAGTTTCCAAAGATGTGGCTTGGTACTGTATTTGGCCACCCAGAAAGGAGTGTGTCATTGTGGAATAAATCTGCAATAAAAAAGAATAGATTAATTATACAGGTTGTACAAGAATACACCAGTAACATAATTATAGCATATGATCAAGGTAAACAAAAGAATGTGACCTAACATACTTCTCAGCTTAAACCAGGGGTATCAGAACTATGAGTGTACTTATAAAGGTACATTGTTTATTCAGAGTGATATTTACTGAGAAAACTTGTAAGAAAACAGGCCATCCTGGGAATGAGGTGCGATCACACATGTATGCCTGGCACACACCTCAGCTAAACCTTATTACCTCAGCTTAGGGAAAAGTGTGATTTATCTCAAGCCTTTATATTACTATTTATATGACACAAAAATCAAGAAGTATCCCCAACCATGCAAGAAAGCAAGGTAGAAACTACAATTCCCAGATCAGCTTCCAGCACCCCCAGCTTATTAATAAGTGGTGCATAACACAAAACTTAATTCCCTCTTTTAAAAGATAGTCTGATAATAGATGTCAAATAAGATATAAAATTCTAAATTAAATTGAATATGAAAATACTTTTTTACCTTTGTAAATCCGAGGGTAAATCCATATATTTCAAGTATCGTCTTTTCCCACATTTCTTGAGTTTTTAAAATTAGTTGTCGTTTTTCACGAGTGAGAATAAACACGTACGACTTGGATATCTTTGACCAAATGGTCAAAGGCAGAAAGTTTATCTCGAAAGCATTTTAAAAAAGAATTTAAAACAACGAGAAGTCGAGAAATATACCCAAATATATTGTCTGCAAAAATGTTTTGCAAAAACCAGGGGGGAGTGAAAACTGCCGTGGGCTCAGAATTGAGCCTATTCAGTGGTAACTACTATGAGAATAAAGTAAGTGTTGTCACGGAAATGGCGTCATTTTCACTCAAAATCCGCCATGTTTTTGCGGACACTTTGTTGACTGAACGAAGTATAGGAGCAGGTTGTCCAGTTATTATACAGCCAAGTGGGTATACGGCACGAAATCGATCAAATTTATCCACGCGGCCCACGCAAAGGCCACACACACCATAGAACAACACATAGCGCCTGGGTTCGAGGCAATACTGTAATCGACGATCTTTAAAGAATGTGTGCCAACCGGCATGCACTGCGCGCTTCATTTGCTCTGGCGGCCATTTTTTTGGCAGAGAAATTCACGAGAACATTGTATTGCGAATCATCAATATTATTGTCCATCTTCGTATATGTTATACTATTTTTATAATTTTTGTCCATCTTCGTAATTTTTATTCATCTTCTATGTTATAATATTTTTATAATTTGGCTTGTGTTATATTTGAAGCAAAAAATACCACATTTATAAAATTAATACAGTATTACCAGTAAATGGCATCGCAATCGTTGCCAAAGCGCGGCAGGCCAAAACTAGGCATTGAAGTTCACCGGATTGGCCTACGAATGGACGTCTATAACGAGTGGTAGGTACAAAAAGATTTGGTTGGAATGGCTGAGAAAACCCATAGTGAATTCGCTAGTCACCTACTGCAAATGTGTGAAGAAATGAGAGTGCGTCAAAACAATCAACAATGCTCAACTCCATCGAGTCAATCCCAAGGGCAAGGTGAGTTTATTATAAATTATACGCCGTGATTATTCTTCAACACCTATGATTTTAAGGAAATGGAATCTTTGTATTTTAGTACTTGTATTTTATTCATGTATGCTTGATTATTTACAGTGCAGTGGATAAATGTTGGAACAAATTTTAATTATAATACAAATATTTGTTTTTTGTTCTATCAGGTCATGTTGTCCAGTCTACGCCATCACGACTTGTTCGAAGATCACTACTTCATGAAGATATTCATCTGTTTCCTATTCTGGCTGACGAATCTGAGATTGATAAGTAGATTCTAGATAGAAATAGAACTTTCCCACACCGTTCCAAATATAAGCTCCCCCCGAATATATTCCCCCCCCCACACATATTGAATATAATATAATTTTTGTTTCTTTTCATGTTTATAATTAACAATAAATACTTGGTTACCAATGTTGTCCATGTATAAGCCCTCTATATATACTGTAAGGTATATAAGCCTCCCCCTATGTATAAGGCCATCAAAAAACACTTCCAAACCACACTGATTTCAATATTCTCCACTCACTCATTGCTCTCAAATGATACTATTCAATTACACCTATGGTGTTTACACTTGCACTTGTTGTTTGTGACTTGACTTCTATTGTGATTTTCTTCTTCTGATGGATGTGAATGAGTAGATGAGTTATCAATGTTCTGAGTACATATATACCCTCATCTGAACATTCATAATTCATTCACTCTTTCACATCCATCAGAAAAAGAAAGTCGCACCTAAAATCTCAGCAAAAAGTGGAAAATATAAAAATTGTGAAGTCATGGGAAGTAATGATTTATTTATTAGACACACCAGCAAGCTAGAAAATTTCAATTCAATGCTTTTGAAATATACACCAAAGCGAGTTGGATTTCAGTAAGTAATATGTAATCGTAAATAATGTATTTACTAATGTATTTGCAACACTCACTCTTTGTCTGGTGTTAGATGATATGGTGACCACATATGGGCATGTTGCTGTCATTGTAGCTTAATGGATTTCAAATTGAAAGTCAAGACAATTATGTCAATTTATTTATTAAACTACAACATTGTTTTAGGAATGACTCATTTATAGCAAGAACATTACTTGCAGCTATTGACCACAACAGCCATCTCTTCAGACAAGCAGCTTTGAACAGGGATGGAAAGAAGAAATACAACAAAGTGTACAGCAAGCGTTCAAAAAACTGGAGAGTGACGGCTGTACTAGAAGAGAAGACCTATGACTTCTGGCTAGCTATAACTTCTGGCATCCTGCAGAGGAAGATTGATGACAAGGATAGTATCCTAAAAAAAGTAGAACTGTCAGCAGAGCATCCGAAAAACATATGTCATTCAATTGCTATGCAGCCTGTCCCAGCTACGCAAGAAATTGTTGATCGGGCACTATCCAGATTTGCGAAGCCTACATGAACATATATTTTCTGTATTTTTATAATAGCCGGAGTAACAGGGTCTATTTTACAAAGAGAACCTGGCACAAACCCTAATCTAGTTGCTCTCCACCCAAAGCAAAATTTATATTTAGAGGGTGGTAAGGGATCTTTTTATTGATATGTGGCTAGGCAGGGACTTGTGTAAGGTCCTCTTCCCTCTCACCTACATTTACGTATATTTGAAAGAAAGGGAACATCAATCTCCTTCCCAGGTTCTTACTTCTTGTGGAGGAAAACTCCTGGTATGAGCTGGTCATGTGATGTGCTAAAATCTACAAGATTTTTCAAGTAGCAAAACAAGATGAGGTAAATATTGAAATGACTTGCATAGTTTAAACCATTGAGTGGCAGCGCTCTCTCCCTGACGAGTAAAATTGTCTGGCATTAGACAGAGAAAAATAATAAAATAGGGTGCATCTGGGCGCATTGCCACATAAAGGGTTAATTTATAGTCGGTTAATTAGAAATCTGCTAGATTTTGACAGATCAGATGACTAGCTCATACCAGGATATTTAATTCACTGTCCACAAGAGGTAAGAATCTGTGAATGAAGTTGGGGAATTATGGCCTGACATCAACTTTGGCTATGATGTATATAACAATTTTAGACATTTATGCATGCATATTATATATATATATTACAAATATGAAATTGAATATTCTATAAATGTTTAATTAAACTAACATGTCAAGCTCTCCTGAAACCCATATAGTTTCCATCATCAGCAGGGAAAATGTGTCGAATGGTCAAGACTACACATGATGGGCACACCCTTCGATTGCCCCTGCCCAATTTCTTGTACCTCCAAAGGATATACTGACGGTATGCAGCCTTGCGGTAACTATTTGTTGAATAGTCAGGGTCCTCTACTCTTATGTCACATCTTGCTCTAATTGCAATCAACAAAACATCCCTGTCAGTACATGTGTTCTGGAATGTGACAAATGATGTAACACAACGAATCTTGCCACAACATTTGTTTTCTTCCTCAGTCGGCATGACACGACAGACACCACATACACACCAGGTAGGTTTTCCATCTGGGACATGTGGGACAGCATCACCTGTGCCATATTTTACCAAATTCTTGGCATAATCCAGACTCCCTTTTCCATTTGACAACAAATTTAAAAGAATATTGTCTTTTTGAGCGTCGTTTAATTCCCCGATAAAGCCCTAAAATTATATATAAAGCCATTTATGAAGACATAAACCAGTAAAACTAAATATAACTGTGCCTAGAGTCTTGATGTCATAGCCAGATACATATAATACAGTGATTTGCGCTTGGCAGCCATGTTTGCTTGACTAACAGGAAGAACAATGAATTATTCATTAGGGCGCATATGTGGAAATTTTCATTGAATATGCGTCGTATGTGCATCATTTAACTTTTATATTTGCGTTGTTTATAGTGTAATACTCATAATTATTTGGATTAATATAAAAGACCTGGCGTGCAAAAGATATATGGGAAATTAAAACGATCAAAATTCTGTATGAACACTTGCTTTGCTTACCGTAATCTCGCGGTTAGAAACCTCGATGGCCGCTTGATGGCGGTCAAATGCATTTTTCCCAGCATTTGCATTCGTCGCAGTCGCCGTACTTTGTTCCTGGTTTTTACAAGAAGACTTTTTTGACCCACAGGAACACTTGTCAGTGCAATGCAAATTTTCATCGCGACACGGACAACCGCGCTTTTTTCGTCCACTACGTCTGCTACATGTATTCTTGCAGCTGCAAAACTATCAAATAAATACAATGAATAAATAGAAATATACATACCAATTAATAAAGGAATAAACAAAACATGAAATCACAAACATACCTGGGTTCGTTGAGGTTGAATGTTTTCAACAATTGTTGAAGCACTGGCAGTTGATGCATTGAAGGCATTGGCAGTTGATGCAACCTCTCCTAACTGAAATTGATCGTGGCTTTCAATCGGAGAACCATAACAATTTAAATTGTCTTCAGGATCGTAAACAGACACAGCATAATCAGAGTCTGAATCGGACAATTTATCACGATTTTAAAGCTTGTTGCGTGTGGCGACGGTCAAGTATCAATGCGCGAATATAAAATGAAGTAACAAGCGTGAACAATAATATAAACAAAAAGCGCGCAGTGCATGCCGGTTGACACACATTCTTTAA